TATAACATAAATATGTTATAAAATCACAAAAATACCCATCTGTTTCAAACCTCTGGTGTCTTATCAAGTGATGATGTTGAATTATTTTAGGTTCAACATCATCACTTCATAAGACACCAGAAGTGTTGAAACAAAATGGCTATTTTTGTAGTGATTTTATAACATATTTATGTTATAATTTTCGAATAAATAATATATATATATATATATATATATATATATATATATATATATATATATAATTAAAGACGAGTAGACCGACAGAATGTATGTTTCTACAGGTTTATCTTATAATATTCAATAATAATTATAAAAAGAGCCGATATTTTATGTTGATTCATTGAAGTGTTCTCTTTTAAATTAAAACGGCTGTAGCTACCAAAAATCAAATAAGTTGTGTTTTGTAAGACAATGCATCCGTCGCCGAAAGGGGCCGGTTACAGAAAGCACAATTTGAATAGGTCAGAAGGACGACAAAGATGGTTTTTGACGAAGTGGCTCTGTTGGCAAGGGAACTTATACTGCTGACCTTTATTCAGTAAACCAACGCATAAACGACGCCTCTCCATAAAACCAGAAAAAAAAAAAAAAAGAAAAGAAAAATTTCATACAGGCCACATCAGCTGATTCAGGGTCGTGGGATTTTATTAAACCAGAGTCTTTGGCTGTTCTAATTTTTCTTGCATATTTTTCATAAATTGGTTCACATTCTGTGTGAAGTGGGTAAAATAGTTATCGGGATGTTGTTAATCCAGAGTGTTCTTTCTTTCTGGTAGAGGAAAACAATTAGAGGAGAAAAAGTGGGGAAAAAGAGAGAGAGACAGAAAGAAAGAAAGAAAGAAAGAAAGAAAGAAAGAAAGAAAGAATTTGTAATATAACTATGTATAATAAAAAAAATAATCTCGGACTATTAAGTCCCATGGAAATACAAGACTGCATCTCGGAATGTGGGTGCATATAATTAAATCTTCAGACACACAGACACACACATATATATATATATATATATATATATATATATATATATATATATATATATATATATATATATATATGTGTGTGTGTGTGTGTGTGTGTGTATATATATATAGAGAGAGAGAAAGAGAAAGAGAGAGAGAGAGACTGAGACAGATATATATGTATATGTGTGGGAATAAGATTTAATTATATATATGTAGGTACCTTCTAGCCAAAAAGAAAAAAGAAGCGATACCTAAGGTTTAAAAATGAAATTTAAAAAAAAAAAAATGAATAATCTTTCTTGAAGCTTTTTATTTTAGTTTTAATTCCAAGCTAATAGATTAAATTTAAATATTTCCAATAAGCAAAACACTTTCTTTATGTCAAACCGATTATTGATTGGCATTATGTTTTTTTTTCGAAATCGCTAAAATCGGCCATCTTGACAAATCCGTCAACACAACATATTTCTCATTATTAAAAGCTCATTTAAAAAATAAAATGTACTTTTCTGAAGCTTTATTTGCGGAAGATGAACATATTTAAAGTTTAATTCATTTGAAGTAAAACGAATATTACTTTTTGTTTAAAATATCGCAGAAAATATATTTTTAACTCGGGGGTGGGTGTTTTTAGGAAATGTTGACAGAATTATTGATAGTTTAATGATTGGCATCTTTAATTAAAGGATACATAACTGTAAAACTTACCTGGCGAATACAACGTGAACGCATTTTATTATATCAACTTTTTTACTACCCAATCTTAAGAATTTAGGAAAAAATTCTAAGTAATCAAATATTTTATTGAATTTTAGGTACTTTATAGTTTTACTTACGAAGACTTAAGTTGATGAAATGCTATAAAATTATCAATCAATTTGAATTTATTATACTTACTGCTTTGATCTTCTGATAATGTCGTGTATGGCCGGCCATATTTATAAAAATCGGCATGCTTATACACACACCGAAAATCTTATTAAAATACTGGAGGTTGCTGAATTGTAGTAAACCTTTCTATTTATCATCAATAAATATAGTTTTTACTTAATAACAATATCACCTCGCTACAAATTAATACATAGTTTAAAACTTTATAAATTATTTTAATTAAATTTTAAAAAATGTACGCAATTGTTAAAATTCATTATTCATCAAAAATGTTTTTCTTAAGACAATAGTCCTTAATAAATCTTATTCATAAAGGCAATTAAAAGCTATTCTAATGTCTTAGTGTTATTGCATATTTCATTTTACGATTCTGAGCAGATTTTATGTACTTAGAAGTCCAGTTTGACAAACAAAAAAAAAATACTGTGGTTTAAATCCAAGGACTTGTCCTTATAACTAATATAAACATAAAGTGGAATTGTAATATATTTTTACCAAGATTATTCTACAAAAGGAAATGCTTCTAAAATAATTTAATTCATTTGTGAATAAGTCCTGAAAGTTTTGTTAAAATTTGATAATTATCTAACTTTTTGCAAACATGTCTAAATTAATGTCTTCACTGCATAGAGACTCTGGAAATTTCCAATATTATTTTTTTATTCTCGATTACTCAGTAACCCCTTGGCTATATTAAAGTGAAATTTATATATATATATATATATATATATATATATATATATATATATATATGCGGAAAAACATATGGATACTGGAAAAACTGAATATAAAATTAATTAAATCTTGCTTGTCTGTGGGTAAGTAATTCAAGTAGATACTATTAATATAAAATATTTAAACTGATCCACAAAAGAGAGCTCAATGTGATTTTTTTTATAGAGCATATAAGTGAATTGCAATTAATGCGATCCAAACAAGATGTTCATTTCGTACATGGGAAAGTCCGATGGACAAAATGATCATCAGTATGAGGTAAATTCTTTGAATCTCATTAATTGTAATTCACACAGATGCACACACACACACACACACACACATAAATATACGAGAAAACGATATATATTTTTATATATCAAGAAACAAGCATCGCAAAGAAAGTTTACTTCTGACGCGTTTCATTCGTTCGAACTTCATCGGACAAGGTTTGTTGACGTTGATGTGACTACACATGCGCATGAACGAGAGATGTCGGTAGTTTCAAAATGCTTGAAAATAATTTCGTTAAATAATCTTTTGCAATCTAGCTAAATTCATCTATATTCTTTTTCTTTCCATCATCTGGCATACATTATAACAACGTCAACAAACACAGATGAAGTCCGAACGGATGAAACGCGTCACAAGTAAATTTTATCCATTTCGTCTTACAATTTATATATATATATATATATATATATATATATATATATATATATATATATAAATAAAAAGAACGAACAGTAAGATATAAAATCCGGTGTTCTTATAGATATTTTTATTTTTACAAAAATAGTGCTCAATGTAAATTTACAGAGCATGAAAAACCATATTTTAAATCAATTAAGTCCGACAATTATTTTAAGACATTTTTATATTTGTACATTCTTTTTATAGATACAAATATTTAAGTAAATGCTCTGTTTATAATAAACTGTATTAAAGAACATTTACCGGCCTGAATGTCCGAGAAATAAAATACTAGTCGGAGGACGAATATTTTCTGTGAAAATTTCTCTATAATTTTTATATATATGGTAATTGACCAGATGTACTCTTCGCTATGGTACCTAGAATTGTTTTAATTTAGGCGCATCGAGATCTCAGCAATTTACAGTTGATTTGGCTAGATGTAAACGTAAGTTCTATGATAACAGTTTCTTTTCTCGCACTTCTCGCCTGTGGACTTCCCTTTCGGTCCAATGCTTTCCAGCCAACTTCAATCTGCAAAAATTTATCTACTGTCTTCCTAATTACTCATTGTCAATGTTTCTTTTCCTAATTCTTCCACACCCGGTAACCTTTGAGTCTTAGTGGCTTTACTGCCTTGCATGGGGTGATACAAATTATATATATATATATATGGTGTATCAAAAATAATTTTACAAATTTTGAAGGTAGACTCCTCACACTAAACAAGAAAAAAAAATCTATCTAGATATATATCCAAGTTTTTGAGTTATCAAGTTTAAAGAAAGTTTATGGTAGATTCCGCTGTGTCGCAGTGTAGACTAGGTTATATTTGTCATTCGTGTACATTTGTGGCTAGTCTGTCTTCAGCATTTAACGTGTGCAGTAGTGAGTTAACTGAGGCAGGTATTCCTATTGTGAACAGGCAGACATAAATTTTACTTACGGCCGCGCGAATGGTAATGGATGCGAGGCTGCACGGCTGTATCAGATTGCGTTTCGTGACCGAAGGCTGCCGAGTCATCGAACCTTTATTGCTGTTTATCGTCGCGTTGCTGAGACAGAATCCGTGGCACCACAAACTATGGTAATAAGTATTTTGGGATTTTATCTTGGATTGTACATTTAACAGCGTCTACCGTAAGCTTTAAACTTAATAACTCAAAAACGAAGATTTTGCAGACATAGGTTTATATGGACTTTTTGTCCTTGTTTTGTTGTGAGGATCGCGTCTCCAAAGTTCGTAAAAGTATGTCTGCGTAAATATATATATAAAGAATACATGTCTTAATCGCATTTCTGGCCTATTTTTCTCCATATAAAATATTTTGTAGATACGCCTGTAATTACTGTGTGATTATATGTACGTCATCGTGTCTATCAGATTACAAAAATATATAGTCTTCACAGGCGCATACCACACACAGCTAACACACGCACGTCTATATCATACACACGCTTTGCGTATATCGCAACTAGTTCTTGCGATATCAATGCACGCCTGTGTAACATCTTTGCGTCTCGTCGTTATCGTTATTACGTCAAGGTGACATCGACTACGTCATTACATAAATGTGTCGATAGCGCATCTTATCTCAGGCACTCATTTGCAGTCTATTTCAAGGAACTAAAACTGATACGGCAAACACGTAGCTTTTCTTTCATTCATCCACACAGACTGACACGCCATTCAGCTTAAGCATACGCGTGTACTATTCGGTTTAATTTTACTATACTGAGCACCGTTTTAATTAACACAATTCTATCTATCTATCTATCTATCTATCTATCTATCTATCTATCTATCTATTTATTCTTCTTATCTATCTATCTATCTATCTATCTATCTATCTATCTATCTATCCTTATCTCGTTTAATATTTATTCTTAGTCCGTTTACTATCTATCTATCTATCTATCTATCTATCTATCTATCTACAGGATGCGATTGATAAACTGTCGTCTAAATAATGCAAAAATGAAAAATAATACTGGCATCTCATTTTAACAGATATATTTACCAAAATTACAGAAAAATATCTTGAACTGCTAAAGAGTAAATTTATTCCGTAAAATCGCCATTGGCTTCAACCACGACCTCCAGAATCTCCTGCAACTATTCTGGACAGTCTCCTTGTTTAAGTTGGTCATGATCCTTTTTTACTCACAGAAAGTACCCAACTAAACTTGACATACTGTGCAGTAGACAAAAAAACAAAAAAAACAAAAAAAAAACAACGCGCATGCGCGAAATTTAAAATGGCGACCATTTACCCATCGCACTATCTATCTATCTAGCTAGCTATCCTTAGATCGTTCAGTATCGATTAATCTATCATCCGATGTTTAGGTCGTTTTGTATCTATCTATATTTCTGTTGTAACCTAGGAAATGTTACTAAAAAGAATAATCGCGCGAAGGTTGGAAATGAACGATAATACTTACGATAAGAACAACACATATAAGATTTACCTGCGGCGCGTAGAAAAAGTAGTCAACTGCTAAAAATGAGTAAAGTGAATTCCACAATGAATCTCCAGCTGCCGGATATCTACCAACCGTCTCACGTGCTCAGATGTGGCACAAGGCCGAATTTAATTTGGGTTATCCAAACCTGTAGGCTCGGCCCAAAATTCCCGTAGACCACGTATAAAACATGGCCGGGTAGCTCTTTCCCGAGACGAGACTCTGCCCTTCGACATAGCATCGTACGGAGGCACAAAGTTTGACCAGCACAGGTGCAGACGAATCTCCAACTGCAGACCAACATACAGTATTTACTACTGCATTTATGAGAATGAGGACATACCCATTATCATCCATAGGTATGCTACAACAATATTGTTGGTCATTTTGCTATAAAATGTATTGTTGGTCATTTTTATATGAAAATGTATTTTTTTTAAGCATTTCACCTCAAGCAAGGCCGGAAACCACTAGTACGCAAAGGGGTTACATGGGATTTGGAGCGAGAGCAGATAGGAGTGATAGAGGAAAGGATGAGGAGAAGGATAGTGGATAGATCAAGGCAACTGGAAATGTCTATTGACATTACATTTGAATAGTTGGAGATTATAGCTCTCAGGGAAACAGGAATAGGGAAGTTCCACAGGCGAGAGGTGCGAGATATGAAGCTATTGGAGTAGGAGAGGCGGCTATATTTAACAGTTTCGACAGTGAAAGGGTGAGAGCGGGATGCTAGCCTCGTGGGACGCTTGAATTCATGAAGCCTGGGAACCAGCGAAAGCAGCTCCTCGGAGCAGTTACCATGAAAGTATTTGTAAAAAAGACAGAGAGAGGCGACGGCACGTCTCTGAGAGAGCGACTGCAGACGAGATGCGAGATCAGGGCCATTTGCATTGCATATCCGTCTCTGGATCTTATCAAGAACCCTGAGGCAAACAGAAGGGGTTCCAGACCATATATGGCAGCAATACTCCATGCAAGGGCGAATGGTTGACTTGTAATTTGAAGGATCGATTCCGGGGAGAAAAATTTCCTAGTGCGGCACAGGGAGCCAACTTTCCTTGCGGTGGACGAAGCAATTGACTCAATGTATTTCTTCCATCTTAGGCCAGCAGACAATGTGAGACCGAACAGCCGCAGAGAGATGCTCTCGAGAAGTTGAGCGTCAGACATTCTAATGGGGGGGGGGGAAGATAAGGATCTCTGTGGTGATTAATAGGGAGCAGTTTTGTTTTTGAGGCGTTAAAGTTAACCAGTCAATTTCTGCCCCAGTTCACAACCGATTGCTGGCTATTTTGCTTTTAAAATGTATTGTTGGTAATTTTAGTATAAATATGTATTGCTGGTATTTTTACTATAGAAATGTATTTTTGTACTTTCCTAGTGTTTTGATTTTAGTTTGTGGGGGGGTTCACTATTCATAGCTGGGACTCTAACAAGTGCTACCACTCCGGGTCAGAGGGGATTTGTTAACAACAGCAATTAAGAAGTGGTTCCTTGCTCCTCAAAACCTCCATTCTCTCGATAAGACGCCTTGTTATCATACCAATGCAGATTCCCCTGCAAAAGGTATGAATCCACCTCTTCTCCCTCCAGCTATAGGTTAATTAGTAAGACTTGTGTTAGTAAATCATTATTATCGCTAAAAGAATATTGCAATCTAAATATATTTCATGGAATTAAAAAGATCGAAAAAAATGTTGATAAGACGTCAAAAAAACAAAACAAAAAAAATCAATCAGTTTCCACGCCGGGGATTCTTGGCCTTATCTCGGCTTTGGTTTATTCCGCGCAACAACCACTTATTAACGTAGACGTCTGGCAATTGTAAAAAAAGTAAAAAAAATGTATCAGCAAACATTTCCCTTGCAAACAAAGTGACATGTGCTGAAAAAAAAAAGAAAAAAAAATTTATGGCTATGTTTTTAAAAGGAAAGAAAAAACAGAATTTTAAAACATCGATACCATTGCTTCAACAACTCACTACAGGAGGTATTTGATTTACGTCAGAAATGACTAACCACAAATGATTGGTTGACTGGGTGACTTTAGAATATGCCAACTCTTGTAATGTTATTTAATGTCGAAATACGTACCTATCTACCTATCTGTTTATCCATATATATATATATATATTTCTGAGATGAGGTATTATGTACACTATTTACATTATTCGGACTATTGCCCTCATTTTTGTCGCCATATTTATTACAACGTTTCGGCCGTTGTACGCTCCGGCCTTCTTCAAGTGGCTGGAATATCGAATTGAACCCATTTATTTTGCTCTTTGGGTCCTGTCACTGGATCCAGAAACAGGACCCAAAGAGTGTGAGTTCAATACCCGGTTAAGGCAGTGGAGAACTTGGAGAGGGAAATTAACAAGAGATAACTGATAACTGACATCCATTAGACATACCACGTGGAACTAGAACAGTCTACTCCAGTGAGCGAAATTAAGGGTTAAGTTCGACATACCAACAACCTGAAAAAGGCCGGAACGTACGACGGCCGAAACATTGTAATAAATATGACGACAAAGATGAGGACAATAGTCCGAATAATATAAATAGTATATATATATATATATATATATATATATGTGTGTGTGTGTGTGTGTGTGTGTGTGTGTGTGTGTGTGTGTGCGCACGCGCGTGTGTGTGCGCGTGCGCACGCGTGTACATCCTATAGTTTTCTCACCGGTTCGCGCGAATCGATTCTTAGAATTATAAAAGCTTAGCGAACCGGTTTTTGGATTATCCGAAAATAATCTTATATATAAATAGCCGATATATAATACATAAAAATATACTTCCTACCATTGCTGTAAATTCCGCGGAGGCTGAAAGAGGCTTTTCTGTGATTAACATAAGTTATTCCGACAAAAGATATCCTATTGAAGTTAAAAACGTGGCACATATAGAATTTGATAGGTCTTCCATTGGATCTTTGGGACTGCGGAGATTCAATTCAAAATATGGCTAAGAAACCATGATACTAGAGTTAAAAAGCATCACACTTCTGAACAGAAATATGATGAGAAGAGAATCTGGAAATATCTTAAATAAATATTTTCTATTAACGTATCAAAATGGTTTAATTCTTTTTGATACTATAAAGTGATTTGTTTCCATTCTCAGATTGAAACAAAATAAACAGAATATGTTCGTAAAGATTATCTGTCTTCATAGGACCGTTTCCTGAAAATTTGGGGTGCCATTATTGTAGATACAGGAAGTATCAAAAATAATTTTAAAAACTTTGGAGTCGGTCCCTCATACCAAAACAAGGACAAAAAGTTCATATAAACGTATGTCCGCATATCCTTCGTTTTTGAATTATTAAGTTTAAATTTTACGGTAGACACTGTTAAATATACAATCCAATATACAATCAAAAAACTGCCTACTCATTATATGAATATCCTGCCATTGTTAAACTGAATACTTCTCAGTTAACTCACTACTACAGACGTTAAATGATGAAGACAGACTAGCCACAAATGTACACGAATAACAAACATAACCTAGTCGATATAGCAAACTTTTTTAAAAAATTTAATAGCTCAAAAACGATAGATTTGCGGACATATGTTGATATGGACTTTTGTCCTTATTCTGGTGTAACGAACCCGCTCCCAAAGTGTGTAAAATTATTTTTGATACACCCTATATATATATATATATATATATATATATATATAGTGGTCCTCGACTTATGTCGAAGTCGAATATCCGTTCATACGGCGCGATGTAACCTGATTTAGGTCGGAACTCACATACAAAGGCACTCACGAGTCTGCCTTACGCTTGGGAGGCACAATGAAAGTCGAACATTCCCACAAAACGACACAAACGGGAGACAGTCAATGTATCACAATTTAATATGGTGTACAGCCGTTGAAGAAACAACGCCGTCTTCCTTATATAGCGTCGCGTGACGACGTATTATATTATGTGAGATGGCGCCGTAACTACTGAAACATCGCATGTCATGTCCGACGTAAGCCGAGGACCTTCTATATATATATATATATATATATATATATATATATATATATATATGAGGATGGAATAAATATAGATCAAATATGGATCGGAATCCGATAGGAAGATAAGACAAAGAATAAATAGGAAACATTTATCAGTCTAACATTTTTAGTAAAGCTTCATCAGAATTGTTGAAAAACTTTAAACAAGCTTAACATGTCAAACGTTAACAGCCAAATATAAATATTTCTGTTTTTTTTTAAATTAACCGCAATATGCCCATATATGTTAATTTACCTTTCCTTTTCCTTTCCTTTATCTTTTACAAACTCTCTTTTCCATTTCTTTCTCAAACCCTATTTCCCCTTCTACTTTCTTATATCTTTACTTCTATTTTTTTTCAGTATCTCGTTTCCTGTCAGATGACTTATTAAATAGA